GCGTCTTTGTCATTTCATTATACATTGTACTATTGTGCTTATTTCTTTACTATCCAACTTTTGCATTCCCCAGGCCTTTGTATCTTCTTGAATGACTTCTAGGAAGTATTCCTATAACTACTGAATAAACTAATTCACAGCACAATATTTCACAAATCTCTCTCGCTCTGTTCTATTCCCAACTGGACTCCATACTTCAACAATGGTAAATTCATTCTGTTTTTCAAAAAATCCAACTAAAATTTTATCTAAGCTTATCCCCTAACTTCTTGGAATTAAAGTCATTATTATCTGAGTATTAGAAAGTCTGACTTCATTCTTATCTGCTAAAGAAATGTTTAAAATGCATTAGGAAGAACTGGGAGAACTTCTTTAAGAAATTCAAATACTGATGGTGAAGAAAAAAGTTCTAAAGTTAGATATAAGAAAATGAAACACGACAGATATGTAGAAATAAACTTGATTTTTGTAAATTGATCTTGTATCTTGCAACTTCATTAAACTTATTTATTCCTTTTAATAGCATTATTTAAAAAGAAAACAAAACAGAGTATTCAATTTAAGGATGTTGAACATAAAAGATATTACTCAAAAATATAATATTATTCTTGTAATTCTATCATGAGGAACACCAAAAAACTTGCCAAAATATAGCCTTGAATTGTGCAACAAGTCTCTTATTTCTTCTTATAAAATATATTGGCAAAGACCAACAAACCCACACTGCTACAATGAAACCCATCCCCACATTCCATGGCTTCAGGGCAATTCCCATAAATGCAGGGTCATAAAAAGACAGCCTGCTAACTCCTGTAAGCCAGCACTCCATTTTAAGGATAAGAAACTGAAGACAATGACATGTGATCTACAGTTATTGGAATCTGAGGCTCTTTTTAAAAAGTTAGCAGGAATTGCCAATCTAATCTTGGATATCCACCTACAAAAGAGCATACAAAATTCATACAATACAGATGGATAAACAAACTTGACTGAAGTGTTCAAATTTAATAGTTTTTATTCTTCATGAAACAAGTCATATTCAACATGTTCACAAGCTGGTACTATAAAACCTAAAAAAAAACAGACTGTTTAAGTTACCACCAGTGGCTTATTTATCTCAAAACACAACTTGACACTCCAATGTTAAAAAGAATGTAAATGGCCCTCCAGAGTTCAACATAATATTATCTAAACAAAGAAAAAATTATATACTTTTGAACTCTAAAAATAAAGATGCAGATTCCTAACTAAGCACAAACTTCTGGCTTTTTACTTTTTCCTTTTTTAATCTCAGTAGACTATAAATTAAAAAGTATATAACTATGAGGGATTTAAAGTTACAAGTTACTAAATAATTTTCCTTTTAATTTTATGTTATTATAAAAGGTAACAATTGAGAGAATACTGTGTGCCAAACCCTGCTAAGAATTTCATATGCATCATTAAAATAAAGGAATCATTAAATTACATGTTTTAAGGCATGTTTCAATTTTAACTGCTTCTTGATACCATCAATTAAAGAACCTGATGACCACTGAAAAATATCCCAATAATCTTACATAATAAAGCTGAATAAGTATAATCAGAGCACTAATTACAATGAGAGTAAGTAAAAATTTTATAACATTAATAATGTTACCACAATATAAATTAGTTACTAGGCACAAATCTTCATCAGGCAATGTTACTAGCATGTTTAAACTAAACCACACAAGGGGTTAAAAATAACTATAATGAAAGGCCAACAGCCCAGCAGCAGGGTTGAGCCAACATTCCCTTCTCTCCTCCCCCTCCCCTTCTGATCCTCTCCAATCCAGAATGAATTGCATGCCCCACTGCACAAGGCCCAAAAAGGTCACAGTGGATGGCAAAGACTTTTGTAAGAGAACAGAAATAACTCAGCAGCTTTGTTACCATAGTCTCTTTTAATCAGTATGTTCAAAATCCTTTAATTAGCACTCTGTCTACACAAGGAAGGCATTTCTCTGTGCCAGGGGAGGGCACCTATGTGTATGTACACAGTGTTCCGTTGTATCAGCAACACAACATGGAGCTAGTACCTCAAACTGTCTGCCAGGGAACTGAAGCACATAAAACTTTTTAAAGGCATGGTACCACATAATTTACATATACCATTTATATACCAATTACCAAACAATAAAGTAATGATGAACCTTGTTTCATTCAGATGTCAATTTGTTTGGGGACTTTTTTTTTTTCCACAAAAACTGAAGTATTTTAAACTGAGCAATAGCTTTAATCAATCAAAATATGATACTAATAATATAAAATAATATTAACAAAACAAAACCAGACAATATTTTGTCCTCATAATAGATCTTCAATAGAAGAAAAACACTGCCTCACTCAGGAATAAGTCACAACACACATTTTCATATGGATACTTTACATTGAAAATTTCACCCAACCACAAGTCTTAAAACTTGCAGGCTGGCACTGGGAACTTAGCTCAGTGGTAGAAAGCACCTGCCCAATGCGTGAAGCCCTGGGTTCCACCCCTAGCACCGCAATTTAAAAAAAAGAAAAAAAAACTGCAGGCTGGATTTATATTTTCTTATAAAATCTGATTAGATTCAAGGAGAAATTGGTAATACATTAAAAATAACTACTTGAATCCACAGCCAAGAAATGATGAAAATTTGATCAGTAAAAGGGAATTTGTAATATTTTAACAGGGATATATAGGTGTAATAAACATATATGTGTGTGTGTGTGTGTACATATGTGTGTGTGTGTATAGTTTTTGTTATTTTTAAATTGTAGCTGGACACACTACTTTTATTTATTTATTTTTATGTTGTGCTGAGAATCGAACCCAGAGCCTTGCACGTGCTAGATAAGCACTCTACCGGTGAGCCACAACCCCAACCCCAACTTATTTTTAATCTTTCAAAATCAAGTTGCATTTAAATATATCCATATATGTATGGATATATACTGTAAGATGCAGAGTATATATACATGTTTATACATATATACACATACATATAATTAAATAAAATTATAACCTTCTAAATATCTGGTTAGAGAAACAACCTAACTAAATTTAATATAAAGTAAATTAGTGGCAGAGCACTTGCCTGGCACGTTTGAGGCACTGAGTTCGATCCTCAGCACATATAAATAAATAAATAAAGGTGCAGCAATAACTAAAAAATATTTTTAAAAAATGATAAAGTGAATTATTGGGGAGGGAGCAGAGAATAACTACATGAAAGCCAACTTTTCCACACCAGCCAGATGCTCACAGCATTGCTGTATGGTGGGAAATAGTATCAGTGTTTCACAGACTGGTATAAAATTAAATAAGATAATACATTTATAGCACTTTGCAAGAACTTCAAAGTTTTCTGGGAGTATTAGGACTGGAATAAAAGGAAAACAGAACAGGTATTTTCATGCATGGTATAGGGGTGCAAATTGACACAACTTATCAAAATGACCTATATATAATATTACATATTACATGGTATTCACTACAGCACTGCATACTGTAATAGTAATATTGGAAATATAAATGCCCTTCATTCAGGCATTATGATTAAGTAAATGTTACTTCCAAAATAAAGAGCCTCCTTATATATTAATAAGGATAGTTCTCCATGGTAAATTGTTAAGAAAAGAGCAACATATGGAACTGTACATAGCTATTATTTGAGTAAACGAAAAGTAGAAATTCACATGTATCAGAAGAAAGGATTTTGAAAGTTTCATCAAGAAAAGATAAATGTTTGAGGAGATAAATATTTTTCAACTGATTTAAACATTACACAATGTACACATTATCAAAGTATTACAGAGTACCCCATTAACATGTACATTTTTAAATTTATAAGTACATGTAAGAAGACACGAAGAATGTGACTCTACTTTGCGTGCAACCAAAGATATGAAAAATTGTGCTCTATATGTGTAATATGAATTGTAATGCATTCTGTTGTCATATATAATAAATCAAAATTTTAAAAATGAAATTAATTTTTATCTAGGAACACAAAAAATACCCTGTTAAGAAAGTTTTACAAGTTATTAATAATAATAATTACCTACTGATGATGAGTGAAACAGTGCTTTACACAGTCAAGCCTCAATAAATGGAAGCTGTAATTATTCCCTTCGTCAGTATCAAAATTATCATGAAAATGTATTCTTAAAATATAGGGCTGGGATTGTGGCTCAGTGGCAGAGTGCTTGCCTCACACATGTGAGGCACTGGGTTCAATCCTCAGCACCACATAAAAATAAATAAACAAAGATATTGTGTCCCTGTATAACTAAAAATAAATTAAATATATATATATATATATATATATATATATAAATGTATATGTGTGTGTGTGTGTGTGTATACCCACATACACAGTATACATTCAACTAAATCTATAATGAGGTCAAAAATCTCAATTATTCATAGGCTGACTACTTGGAGATCCAATCCTTTCATTTTCTTTTCAAAGGTAAGTAGTTTCGGGACGTTTTATTGTTGATTATCACTTCCACCAGAAAGTGAGCTAAGGAAATAATACCAAAAATAGTCATTTTAATCAATCTTGATCAATTGTTTTTAATAAAACATTTTTTGGAGATGGAAAGGACCACTAAAATAGGGTGACTTTATAAAGTAACATAGGGTAACTTTATAAAGTAACATAGAAGGAAATTAAGGCCCAGAGAATTCCCCAAATTGATGTAGTTCAAAAACTTAAAAGAATCTACTCTCTAGCAAAATGCTTTTCCATTTTATTTTTGCTAATGTGGGGAAAGCTGAAAATAAGCTAAACCCAAATCAATTATCCTTGCTAAGTCCCTTTCCCACCAGCAGTCTTTATTAGATAACTAAATCTGCTGAGAACAAACCCCACAAACAATTATAATAAGTATAGTAGAGATCAATGGAGATATTCAACAACTCAGCCCTGGGGTTTCCAGGACTAAGTACTGAATGAACAACTGTAATAAAATCTGTAAAGTTTGCTTACACTAGAGATTGTCAGAGGCATGTTGAAATCCTTGCCACCTTGCAGCCGGAAACCCCAAGGAGCTGGGCCAACCAAGGACACACTGTAGTTGCTCATGGTTCTAATGGCTCAAAGTCCAAGGCCAGAAAATGCAAGAAACTGTGAAAGAAAATTAGATGGTTAACAAAACTGTTTATTCAAATTCCTTTACATACCTAAATGTATTTAATAAAAAGCCAACTAAATTATGTTCAGTATTTTTGGGAGGAGGTGAAGAAATATAGAGGATAAGTCTATTAAGTTCTTCACTAATTTCAGTCCTTTTAAAAAGTAAAATTGCCAGGGACCATGGTGCATGACTGTAATTCCAGTGGTCCTGGAGGCCAGAGCAGAGGGATCACCAGTTCAAAGCCAGCCTCAACAACTTAGCGAGGCCCTAAGCAACTCATAGAGATACTGAATCTAAATAAAATATAAAAAAGGGCTAGGGATGTGGCTCAGAGGTTAACTGCCCCGGGGTTCAATCCACCAGTACCAAAAAAAAAAAGAAAAAATACTATTAGTTAATTGACATACATTTAAACTCATGACAATTTCTATAGTCTAAAAATTCCATACCTGAATATTTCTATAGATACTTCATCAGTTTTATAACTTGCTACAATCCATTTTTCTGACTTCTTGCATACAAACTTTAATTCAATGTATTGTACAACAATTTATTAATGTATATAAGAACAAGGTATGTGTGTGTGTCTCTGTCCCTCTCTCTCCCTCCCTCCCTCTCTCTCTCTCTCTCTCTCTCTCTCTCTCTGCAGCACACCAGCAGATCCAACCCAGGGCCTCAGGCATGTTAGGCAAGCACTCTACCACTACGCTACACCTCCAGCCCAGAACAAGATTTTATTTCAGAATTAATTCAAAATGATTTTCTCCTTCCCTCTACCTCATGCATTTTTTCTGCCTGTGGTTGACAAGAGCCTTCAATTTCACTGACCTAAAAATCTAAGTTATCCTAACATATGAAAGGACTTCAAACCAGGAGACTGCAAATCATGTCTTCTAAATACTGAATTACTTAAAATGACAAGTTGTCTTTTCATAGCACAAAACTATTCTCTCCAATTAAGAACTACAACTTATATTCCCTCTTATAGAGGCATGGTACTTTCCATACTTAAAGTAATATTTATTTTTCCTTCAGATAGACAATGATAATACTGATATTTTAGTCAGAACCTTCTTCTTGTTTTATACACATACCTCATCAGGCAAAGCAGAAAGTAAGCATTTACCACGCAGTAAATAAGACTCTGATTAAACATAGAAGTACAAGGTTAACTATAATGTATGATATTGAATCTGAGTGTTAGGAAAGAACTAGTGTCTTCTTTGTTCTGTTTTGCTTTAAGTATGCTCATAATGACTCTACTTTAAATAATTTGTTTTAAAAAGTCTAACGTGGAGTTTCCTATTGGTTGTTACTGTGGTGGGAGATACTAGGAGAAATGAAGATTATTTTTAATGTAATACAAAGAAACATTAAAAGTCTCTCTTTTAAAAATATAACAGAGGTCTAGTTTAAAAAAAAATACTTTTTTAAGCTAAGATACACACTTCCTTAGAAAATCTGAGCTGTTAAGTCAAATCATCACCTTCTATTATCTGTCTTAAAACATATCTTCCATTTTTTAACCCTTTCAAAATTTCTATCCCGTCACACCAAATTCATATTAGCAAATGTAGATATTTAAACCAGTGGGTATATATAAACAGGTTTCTTCTCAAAAAAGGAAAATGAGGCAATACTTTAAAATAAGCCTGGTTCTTAAAGAAAACATTCAGGGATAATGTGTACTGCATCTACCTAGAAAATACACGAGCATTTCCACGGGCATGGTAGTGGATTAACCACCAGGCAATAACATGTTATTTCAGGACTGAAGTATATATGCAGACCACTGACAAAGAATCAAAAGGCCACAGCAGAAGTCAAATTTCTACACATAGGTGAAAAGGGAATAGCTAGGAGTTAATTAGAAACTACACATAATTTAATTCCTTTCCCATTATAAAGAGATTTTCCTAAAATGAGTAGATAAAAAGTCTTGATGTTGGCATACAATACAAATCAGATTTACGTAAATCCAACTGTTATTTTGTCCTCTGTCCTCTTTTTTTTAACCTTTAACTTGTGACAGAGGGAAAAAGATGAAAATTTGGCTAAACTTCCTATGGTCCCAGTCTTCTCTACAAGAAAAATGTATTTCATGTATGTACCAACCTATGTATATAATTAACTTCTCTTTACTTGGGGATTTCCTTCCTGACTTCTCCCATTTGTTATGAAAATTTCTATCATTGGCAAGGTCACAGCCACACAAGAAAACCAGTGTCATTTCTTTTCTAGATTCTCCTGCTAGCTTCACTTGGAATTCATTTGCTTAAAATATTCTGATCCCTAAGCATTGGCAATATTTTTATTGGCCTTTTCCAGGTCTCCTTCATGCAGTTATTAGTGCCCAAAACCCTTCGTAGAATGCCAAGCAGACAGGAAATAGCAGCCTATTCTGCCTATTCTGTTTTCAAGCACGTAGAAAATGTTGGAATTTCTGTATAGTTCTGGATTTTCTTTTAGGGAAAGTCTAAACAGTCTTTGCTTGGTACTAAGAAGGGAAGCTTGGTATTTCCCACACTTTGTGTCCCAACTTCTATGGTGGGTGGGAGAGGGGAGAGAGCTCATGATGGACTACTGAGTGACAAGAGGGGCCTGAAATGAAAGAGAAACATCTTGAGGTTCCCCCACACACACTATTGATAATACAGGTAATGCTGAAGAACTAACGCTACAGGAACAGAATGAAAGCGGTCGACAAGACAGTTTTCCAGCTGAGGTTCACGCCTAACCCCGTTTGCCAAATAAGGCTCCCAAGCAGGCTGTTTCCGTGGCAGGCGGGTTCAGACTTCCTCACGGTCAGGAAGGCGGACTTGGGATAGGATCCGGCGTTCACACCCTAAACCTGCCCAGCCCTGCGCAGCCACAAATTTTCTTTCCAAGTTCTTACCGGTTCTATACGCCCTTCCTTTTTCCACTTATTGTCAAACGTACCGAAGGCAGAGTCTTACAAAAGTCCCCATCAAATATGCCAAGTATTAATAAATGTGGTGTTCGTGACAGATTTGTTTTCCAAGCCAGTTTTATTTCTGGACGCAGGGAAGTTTTCCCCAAACAGGTTACGCTACTGTGAATACTTAAGGGGGAAATAAATGATTCTCAGTAGCCTGAGAGCAAACAAAAATTAAAGACCGTTTGGTCCCGCTGCCTCCCAACACCCCTGAGAGGTCTGCGCTGGACGGGAGTGCACCCGATGTCAAGGCGGTGCCCAGCAACACAGGGAGCCGGCCAGTCGGGTCGGTGCGGCTGCGCCCTGGAGCCCCTGGGCGCCCGCTCCCGCGCCCCGGTCTCCGGTGCTCTTGTCCCGGCCAGCCAGAGCTGCGAAGACTTCCAGGCTCGCCCTCCAGCTTCACGCCCAGGCTCCCGCTGCCCTTTCACCCGCACTCCTTCCTCCCTGACGCTCGCCCACCTCCGCCGCTCCGCGCCCAGAAAGCACCTGAGGAGCCACCCGCGTGCGAAGCGCGCCCCTTCCTCCTCTCAAATAGGCTTCCCTCCTCGCGTGTGGCGCGCGGCAGCAGCTTTTCCCTTGCTCCCTGTGAGGAATCGGATACGCTCGCGCACCACCACGGCCACTCACCTCCGGACCGGCACCGCGATGCCTCCGCCTCAGTAGAGCGCTGACAAGTGACTCCCGGTGCGCGCGTCCTCCCCAAGGCCTGCGGGGAACTTCCGCCCTCTCCCTCCCCGGCCCCGCCTCTGGGCCGGCCCCGCCCCTCCGCACCCGACCACGCCCCCGAGCCGCGCTGAGTCTTGGTGCGCCCAGAGAAGGTTGTAGCAGAGCCAGGATCAGGGGCTTGCTGTGGATGGCTGAAGCTGCAACAGAAAAATAGTAACTTTATGGAATTTCGGTGGGAGTAGTCTTAGGGGATTCCACGCAGTACCTGGCGGAGGTTTAGCCTTCCGCGTGTCGGTTTTGTAGTTGGGTACATTTCTATCTCCGGAAACAAATTGGCCAGCAGTTACTCTGGCTAAAAATAGAAAGGGGTTTTGGATAAATCCCTGTCTATGCAAGTTCAGCGACTATTGCCTGGTTTTTTGACCTTTATACATACTCTGAGAAGTGCAAACACTAAATTTACCTATCAGGAATTGAAAATGCCTAAATACGAAGAAGTTAAATCCATCATCACACCGCAGTGATAGAAAGCAGTGGCCAAAGAGTGATGCAACTTATTGTTCCAAGTCCAAATCAATAGCCCACTCTCCTGCTTCCATAAAGTTGCTTGCTTTAGCCTCAGGAATTTATTCATAAGCAAACGTGAATATTGTTCAGTGAACATATGAAAAGGAACCTGTAGAACCTTTTACATGGTAAATTTGTTTTTAAAGTGTGAAAGGGCCATTCTTAGTTAAAGGGGCATATAAAACAAAAATAAACCTCATGAAGTCCGTGAACCCCTAGAAGTATAAACAAAATTTTAGAGAAGGTTCAAACCTACTCTGTCCAAAACAGTAGCTACTAGTCCGCATGTGGCTACTGAACAGTTGAACTGTGATGTACTGGGACTGAGGCACTGAAATTTTTTGTTGTATGTAATTTTAATTAATTCAAAATTCAAAACAGGCAGAATAACATTTCTATTAAACACTACTTTGGATAGGACTACATTCATTTTACTTGCGGAAATTTGGACCTGTGTTAGTCAATTTTGTTGCTATGATAAATAACTGAGAAAAAAAATCTGTGGAGGATTTATTTTGGCTCATAGTTTCAGAAGTTTCCGTTCATAGTAGGCTGGCTCTGTGCTTTGGACCTGAGGTGTGAGGCAAAACATCATGGCAGAAGGAAGTGAGAGAGAAAAACTGCTCAGCCCCTGGCTACTGGGAAAGGGGGGTTAGGGAAATGGGACAACACAACACAATAGTCCAGAAAAGCATGCCTCAGTCACCTACTTCTTCCAATCAGGCTCTAACTGCCTAACATTTCCACCTTCTCCCAGTAGTCCGTCAGCTACCAGTAGTTTGATATATTGATGAGGTCAGAGCCCTCACCATCCAATCACTTCCCCAAATCCCCTTCTTTGACATTGCTGCACTGGGAACCAAGCTTTCAACACATGATACTTTGGGGGATATTACAGATCCAAACCTTAACAGCGCCCAACCTGAGATATGTTGGAAGTTTAAGATGCATTCTGGGTTTCAAAGACAGTATGAAAAAAATACTAATAATTTTTATATTGATTACATACTGAAATTATATTTTATATTTAATTAAGTATATTATATTATTAAAATCAACTTTGCCTTTTTAAAATGTGGATTCTGGAAATTTTAACATTATATACATGCCTCACACCATATTTTCATTGGCAAATGCCATAATTTCAATATATACTTGATATTGTTCAAAGAATGAAATAAGATGATGTACATAAAATACATTTTATATAAGATGATGTACATAAAATACATTTTATGTACATCATCTTATTTCATTCTTTCTTTGAACAATATCAAGTATATATTTTTTTCTCACAAGGAAACAAATTTGGAGATTAAGAAATTTACCAATTTAGACACAGCCACATCAATGTTTGTAACAGCTCAATTCACAATAGCTAAGCTATGGAACCAACCTAGGAGCCCTTCAGCAGATGAATGAATAAAGAAAGTGTGGTGTATACACACAATGGAATATTACTCAGCCATAAAGAGAAATGAAATTATGACATTTGCCAGTAAATGGATGGATGGATGGATCTGGAGATTATCATGCTAAGTGAAATAAGTCAATCCCAAAAAACCAAAGGCCAAATATTCTCTCTGATATGCAGATGCTAGCACACAATAAGGTGGGGGGTGGAGAATAGAGTTCAGTGGATTAGACAAAGGGGAATAAAGAGAAGGGAGAGGGGGAGGGAATAGGAAGGACAGAATGAATCGGATATAATTTCCTGTGTTCATATATGAATACACCACCAGTGTAACTCCATATCATACAATCACAAGAATGGGTCCTAATTAGAACAAGTTATACTCCATCTATGTATAATATGTCAAAATACATTATGCTGTCCTACATATCTAAAAAGAACAAATAACAACTAAATAAGAGAATTTACCAATTTAAAATTAATCATAACTAGTGATAGAAGTAGAGCGAAGGGTCACAGTCCATCAATCATGTTCTTTTTGTGTACACTGCCTCTTGGTAAATTCAGTAAGCATCCAGCTTAAAGATTAGAGAAAGAATATGAATGAATGTCTAAATAAAACATGACAATCTTCCAAATAAATATAATGCTTTCTTGTCTCCCCTAAGCTCCTGGTTGTATAATTCACTTTTCATGGCCTTCAGAAGACCTTAGACTGGATATATAGCTCAGTAGGTAGAGTGCTCACCTTGCATGCACAGGTTCAATCCTGGGTTCAATCCCCAGCACCACAAAAAAAAAAAAAAAAAAAAAAAGACTACAGGAAGACCATGAGTTTGGGGTCAGGGGAACTAAGTAAAGTTTTTACACTTCTATTAAAAACAATCACTGATTTATGGGGGTTCAACTCTATTGCAGCACCAAAGTGATTTGCATTCAGTAGAAAACATAATTCATATTTTGAATTTTGACCTTTTCCCAGACTGGTGACATCAAGCAGCAGAGAGATAGCTCCTAGTGAGCATGCAATCACAAGGGTTAACTACCAATACTCTACAGTATACTATGTTGGTAAGCTGTTCTATCAGGTAGATTAAGTGTATTAAATGTATTTTTCCTCTGTGATATCTTGAACTTACAAAATGTTTACTGAGTCATAACTGCCTGGTCGATTCATGAACTAAGGCAAATCCGAAGAAAGGAGAACTGTTGAGGATCATAAGGGTACAATTTGCAGCACATGATGAAAATAAAATAAATACTGAATTGTTTGTGCAAGAGAGAGGATGAAATTCTTTAACCCTTTACAGTAGAATATGTGTCTTAACTTGTTTTATAGTGAATTGCCACTGAGGCATTCTGACTCCCTTTCTCTGTCTCTCTCATTTATGAAATGTTTGGACAAGGTTTGAAGGACAGCCTGTGACTTCAAATCAACAGGAAAATAGCTGAGCCATTGGGGAATCAAACCTCGGTCCTTGGCCTTTTTAACATTTTGGGGCTAAGCAATGATGCATTGGCCACAAAAGAAACCACATTAAGTTTCATTTCATCAAAACCAATGCATGAAAAGCATGAGAGTAGAAAAAAAGAAAGAGTCCTGGGTGTGTTACATGCCTATAATCCCAGCAGCTCGGGAGGCTGAAGCAGGAGAATCATGAGTTCAAAGCCAGCCTCAGCAATTTAGCAAGGCAACTTAGCAATTCAGTGAGACCCTGTCTCTAAATAAAACACAAAATAGGGCTGGGGCTGTGGCCCTGAGTTCAATACCCCCCCCCAAAAAAAAGTAAAAAAGAAAGAGATCAAAGATTTGACAGGAAGAGTTTTTAGAATATTCCACTTAAACATTCCACCTAAATATATAAGTATATGTACTTATATACTTAGGTATATAAATGTTTGCTTTACTATTTTATTATCTAATATATGGATTTGGAACCTTTTGCAGTACTTCAAAAATAACAGAAACTTTTAATTACAAGATGGCCTGGTAATGATGACTTTTTACAGTTTTATCTAATATAAGTATAGATGGCCAGTCCTTAAAATTTTTCCAACATTAAGTTAATTTATCTTACAGTCCTAATCCTCAAAAGAAATAAACCACTCATAAGTATGAATATTTAATATTTAAAATATAGAATGGAAAGGAAGCATTAACTATTTTAATACTTAAAGAGACATTTAGCAATCTAGAGAGAAACAGAAGGCACAGTGTCATTCTAAAGCTTACTAAGGAATCCTGGGAGAAAGGTGGAATTAAAGCAAGCACAAAAACAGAATGGAAAGGCAGGAAAGGATGGGAACGAGGTAAGAACAGACCCAGGAAGTCTGTATACTAATAGTGAATGTGTAATTAAGGAAGAAGGCAAAGTTTAAATTGCTTCAAGTCTCAACTTTGGGAGTGGTTTTCATAACTGCTATTGAAGAAAGAGGTGCAAGTGTTTTCTTCCATATTGTTTATGAGTGCATTATAATTGTACAAAATGGTGGGATTCGTTATTGCATATTCATACATGCATGCAATATAACAATATCTTTGACCCATATTATCCCCAGTATATCCCATTTCTCTCCCCTGCTCCTTCCCACTGGTCTCATTCTTCTACTCTGCTGAACTTCTTTCAATTTTCATTAGATTCTCACACACTTTTCTTTTTAAGAGGAGCAAATTTTCTGTTTGTTTTTTGTTTTATGGATTGAACTCTGGTACCAAGGTGGTGCTTAACCATTGAACCATATCCCAGCCCTTTTTTTTTTTTTTTTTTTTTTGTCTTTTATTTTGAGACAGGATCTCTCTAAATTGCTGAGTCTGGCTTTAAACTTGTGATTCTCCAACCTCCGCTTTCCCAACAGCTGGGATTACAGCCATGTGCCACCAATGCCTGGCTAAGAGGAGCAAGTTTTGAAGGAACTGTCTCTCTAGTTAGGAGAGGGTGGTGGGCGGCGAGGGAGAAAGTCAATTGGCGAATGTGGAGTAAAAAGGCAGAAAGCAAGGATGCTGAGAAAAATACTGGGTAGCTTCAAATTTGAGATTTCAGAAGGCAAAGAACATTCCT